AATGGGCTACCAGTGCTCTAAAACAACGATGCAAATAATAATCGTGTATTTACTTATAAAATAGCTAGAGTGAGTGCAGAGAGAGAGAGAGAGAGAGAGAGAGAGAGAATTATATGTTTAAATAATTTATAAAATAAAAAGAAAGAAATAAATTGTTTTGATTTTGTTGATTTACTAAATTTTAATATATTGAGTGAATAATTTATTTGGTACTGTATTAATGGTAATAAAAATAATAAATACCTGCAATTGTCATTCAACGATAATACAGTAAGTGTTGGTCAGATTGTCAACTAAAACCATCATCAATGTAGTGGTAATACTGTACTAATCGTTGAGTTGACCATTGATTGGGAAAAGTTCACAATCACGGCATTAATATCGGCCTTCACTTCACTTAACATTGTCTATGAAAGCGATGCCTAAGATATGGCCTCAGATTTGGCCTTAGATATGGTGTTATATAACTTATATTGTTTTATATATGGCCTTATATGCGGGCCTTACATATGGTTGTAATAGAGGCTGTATTAGCGGCCAGTTTAAAAATGGTTGTAATTTAGTCATTAATCTTACTTTCTTTTTGATGATATTGTTAACCAAAATTGTGGTTAACTTGAATACATAACAAAATAGCAAATAAAGCTACATTTGAAATATTACTTTATTTAATATAATTACACCATTGATGACGAGATGCGATGGAATATAGGATTAACACTTCAGACAAACTGATATTTCGGTTTAAAGTGAGTTAATCTAAAAAAAATAACGATATATTGAATGGATTCAAAGTCTATACAGTGCGGCACCCAATCCAACGAGGCTTTCCCGGAGTTGTGTTCATCCAATCACATCCATAGGTAGGCCTCACTCTCTTCAGACTTCAATGCATTACTTTTCATATAATGTACAATCAATACCAATACTAGTCATGTATTTCTAGTCTTTTGTATTATCGATGAATTTCATTAAATTTTAGCCAATATTCTTGATGTGAATAAATGTTCATTCACTCCAATGATGAATAACTCGCTGATAAACTCTTGAATACATTATGATCATAATTATAATGCCGGCAGTTTTAGTTTACAAATAAATCTATTTGCTAAATATTTAACACATAATTTTAATCAAATGCAACAAAATAGTTATAATACCTTTTAACAAAGCCATAAAGTTATTAATATATTGATATAATATATATAATATGATGGTAATGAGCATTTATGGCATACCATAGCAAATAATATGCAATTAATAGTCAAATCCGAAGAAACAAAACAAAAATTAAATAATTGTTTACGACTCAGAGATTTTGAGTATTTTATTGAGTTTTTAATTATATAAATGCATAAATTAAGGACAATATTAATTCATTACTTTAAGTCTAATTTTTAATTAAGTTTCAAAAATCACACAATTATACTATCATTAGTTGTTTATTATAATGAGTGAAATGTTATAAACAAAAGATATTTACGAAATGTTAATTGTTGTATATCTTTGTACTGTAAATACAACACACCCTTCAATACCATTAATAAGGTTTTTGCTGTTTATTTATACTTAACTAAAATTAGTTTCACAAAAAGATTAATCGCTTTTACAGAACATGGCTTTGCATTAATAGTAGTATTCATTTCCCAATAAAACAAAGCAATTCTACGCTTACGAGTGAGGCTTACAGTCATGTTATGCTATTTCATGCTATATCTCGGCTTACGGTAAGAATAATGGCTTAAATAGTTTTAATCGTTTATAACCCAAATGCATGCCATTTGAATATATCATCGATTATTTAATATATATTTATAATACCTTAATATTTTGAATCATGTGTTGTGCTTAATCAACCAAAACAATAATACAATACAAAAATCATATAAGAATTACATATTAAATGAGCCAAAAAACAATTTTAACAATACATTTAAATTCAATTAATGATACAATTCCTTCAGTCAACTATTATCTGCTTTTTCTGGTTTCAAGATATTTTGTTTGCACAATATTTGTTTTTACAGACAAAAAACCCTTCAAACTAATAGTTTCATTGCTATTGTATTGAGAGTTGTTAAACAATTCAAATAAATGAAAGCTAAATGATAGTGGATTTTGAAATATACATATATTTACGATATGAATAGATGACGAGATTTGTAAGAAATGAGATTCAAAACACAAAGAGAAAAATAAAGAAGAAAAATGTTGTTATAAGACCTCCCGCTGTATAAGTGGCTAATTATAAGTTTTTCGTATTAAGAATTAATTTAATGGTTTTGAATTATTATTAAATGAATGCATTTAATGATTTGGATATTTCTGCCAAAAAAGTGAACGAACCATAAAACTCCTGATATTAGACTCGTTTTAAAATTCACTATCAGTTTAACTCCTCATTAGGTCTCAAATATGCCTTTCATTTACATCTGATAAGCGATGGAATCAAAGAAAAATTTAAACGAAATTAAAAGTTATTTTCTTATAATTTTTGAGTTATTTATCAAAATAAAGCATAGGATTGAAGCAATGAAACTGTATGTGCGGTCAGTTGACTGGAGGTATGCATTATTTGATAAGAGTTGTACTCAAACTAAACTAAATTTTTTAAAATACAAGTTAAAGCATATAATGGCTTATTATGAGTTGCGATTAGATCCCAATCATAATAACTCATTTGTAGTGTTTTTATTATACATTTATATATTTTGATGCAAATGGAGAGTAAATGGAAACGAATGGAAATAATTTACATCAAATAATTTATTTATACAACAATTTCTACTAATTATTGACACGAATATTAAGTCTGGAGTCGACAAAAAGGAGATGTTTAATAAATTAATGGCAAATTTTTATAAAATACCACAATTGATATTATATATGGAATTTTCTATAGAGCTTTAAGTTGTAAATGACATATAATTAATACAATTATATTGAAAATCAATTTATAGATTCAATGATTATCATAAAATTCAAAGAAATGATTTGCATTTTTATGCACTTTTTCAGACAACAGCTAAACTACAATATATAGTAAATAATAATAAGTTAGTCTTCAAAGGGCTGAGAGGAGGGAGGGAGAGAGAGAGAAAGAGAGAGAGAGAGAGAGAGAGAGAGGCGAATAAGTTATTGAATTTATAATTCATTTGTTTCGATCGGAATTTCGTTGAGAAGTTTTCTTGCTTTTCATTCGTCTGTTTTGAAACCATATCTTAACCTGTCTTTCAGTAAGATTGAGATTACGGGCCAATTCCCACCTCTTCTGCTTTGACACATACGCGTTGAAGAGGAACTCCTTCTCGAGTTCCAGTGTCTGGAACTTTGAGTACGGCTTCCTTTTCTTACGCACCGACACGTGATGTCCAGAGTTGTTGTTAGGGTTACCGCCCGTCCATTCGAGTTGTGCCGCAGCGGCGGCGTTGGTGGCCAAGAGGGCAGCATGGTGGTGCAGCACTGCAGCGTGAGCATGGTGATGATGATGGTGATGGTGCACCGCCGCCGCCAACGCGTCACCTGAAGTTTATATCATATTTATATACTGTTTATACATTTCATTATTTGCATTCAATATTTATATTTATTTTAAGTTTTAAAACTATAAAAATAAAAGTCTAAATTGTCAAACAAAAAATATTTTGAGATAATTGTAAAATAAATAATAATTATTGCACTAAAAAGATAATACTAGTCAATAGTGCCTTTATAGCGAAGTTGTGTTATATAAGTTAGAAGTTATATAATATAACAAAAACGCTAATGAAAATCAACTGAACCGCTGTTGCAATAAAATAATTTAATGGCATAACTGCTGCCTTTTCCAGGCTTAATATTTTTATAAGATATGTGTGAGTGATATGGTTTTGATTGCTCTCTCATTGTTATAATTATTTAATTAATTGCTGTGAAAGTAGTTGTTTTGTATATATTTTTTTAAAATAGTGACCGAAATTCTCGGCTCAGATATCACTTAATAAAGAGATATTTGAAAACAAGAAACACTAGTTCCTGGCTGTCGTATTGGGGGCTACAAAGAGGCCTAAAAATTGCTTATTTCGACAATTTATATCACTTATACCACAGGGGAGTCAACATTACTTCAGGTGTTTTTTGCTTTACAGTATTGTTGGCTAAAAATCTTAATATAAACGCAAACTTAGGCCTAAAATTCTCACAATACGATTGATCCTATTTTAGGAAACTTTTTGTTGCTTTACAACTCTGGTCCGCAACTGTTATCTAATGCAATGTTTTATGATATGTGTTGGAGACTAAAAAAGGTATAGTAATTGATGGCACAGCAGAGCGGGACTGCACTTACAAAAGGATTTGTCTCTTCTTCTCGTACAGTACTATCAAAACAATAAAACAGTAAAAACTGAATTATCAGTCATAGTGTGCATACAGTCTCTCACAATGAGATACACTATAAGTGAATGCAAGCGTCACTCAGTTATACAATCGGGAAAAAATGTTGACTTTTTAGGGAAGAAAATATAGCGAATAATAAGAAAATGCTTTACAATAATAAAAGAGAGAGAATAGAAACGAAAGAAAAGTAGATTTTAATGTATTCCTGCTTTTTGGATGAGTGAAAGCATATAAATGTATGTATGAATGGATATAAGAGGACAAATGGACACAAATGTCAAATATTTTACTCGCAGTGGAAATGAGAATAAACTGAATGAATGACTGAATGAATTGATTCATAAGTAAAACCTTATAACTAACGAGAGAACAGAAGTGAGAAAAACATAGCATTTGCCACAACTTGTGCCGCATTTGTGCTAAATATTAGGTTAGTTTCGATAATTGTCAAGAATAACAATCGAAATCAATGTATTTGTATAATATAGTGGCCTAAGTAAGGCCTACTCAGCCCCTACTGCCACATATATTAGCCAAACGATCGCTGAGTTCGCACTGAAACGGGGCTCAGGTTTTGTCGGTTTCCCCAAAATCTCATATAATAAAGTAAACGTCAAGTGAACCGTATATAAGCCTCATATTGGACTCTGTGATCATTGTTGTCAATGTATGACTTGTGTGCCAAATGTGGTCCAAATGTGGTTCATATGTGATGTCAGTGCGGGTGACACTACGGACGGCACCGGCAACTGCTTCGTGTGAGCTTCACATCAATTCTTATAGTGAGTGCACATTAAAGTGAGAGCGCCTTCAGGTAACTCATAATATAAGTCAAATGAATGCCAGAAATGTTTTATTCCTTAGCGTTAATGCAAGTATTGGCCAAATATCTCGACTATAGATGCAATTCTATGCCATTCTTTAGCATTCAATAAATTCAAAATATACTTCTGTTAGACATTAAATATGAAAGTTTGTGGCACTGATGGCACCGGTGTTCACATTATTACTTCATTATAACAGACTATTACTTTTTTACATTCATTGAAATCAAAAATTAAACCATTTCTTATTTGATCATTAAATTCAATCATTAGATTTGATATCTTTTAAAATGATCCAAATACTTTTAAAAAGCACTTTTCATCAATATTTTGAGCCTAAATAAAAAATACCAAATAAAAATATTTACCGGTGGGTGTAGTCGGCGGCTGAACACCGGGTGGTGTCTGATTCCACGCCCCGACTGCCGAACCACTGCATGTCTGGTCTGAGGCGACGGTTGGGAAGTTTCTGATGGCTGAATGGTATGAGTCGACAAAAGCGGACCTGTGATCGGTTTCACCGGTCAGGTATGGATCAGGTCTGGGAGATTGATGATATGGCGAGTAATTGCACCATGCTGACGCCGCCGCCGCCACGTGATTGGCCGCCGCGTGATGTGCGGCCGCGGCTGCGAAAGCACTGCCGTGACAGACGGCGGCCGCCACTATGGGATCGCTGGGCATTTGAGCGGTCGGACCGTTCACTGCTGTGTCATATGAATTTGACCAGAATTTGGTGGGCGCGGGCTTACACGGCCTACTGCTGGCCGCGTCGGGCGTAGAGCTGCCGTAATAATAAGACGCTGTGCCAGAGGGCGGGGGCGGAGGCGGCGGGTGATGAGTGTGACTGTTGTTATTGTTTGCACCACTCATACAACAGGACGACGACGAGGACGAGGCGGCCGTTCCGTTGTGTTGATTGCCGTACGAATCAAAGTCATAGCTGTTGGCGGATGTGCTCCACAGCGGTGTTGTACTACTGATGCCTCCGTGAAGTTGCAGTTCTCCCGAACCGGATCTCATCCTTTCAGCCGAAGACGAACCGCCAGATGAAGACGTGACGTGAGTTGAGGCCTGACTTCCAGTCGATTCAAACGTATTGAGACTATCGGGCCGTTTGGAAGAGACGAGAAGTGTTTGGCCGCTATTGTTGTTGTTGTTGTGTTCAGTGGTTTCAAAGCCGTTCATAACGGATGACACTCTTTGAAGGGATGACACAATCAAACAGAACCAGAATTACATATCCTAAGACACTGTCACTACAAACACATCCAGTCCTTGTGCTAAATTGGATGTATATCTGATAACTGGATAATTCATATTAAATAATCTAAATTTAATCCATAATAAAGGAATTGAAGAGTTAGCTGAGGGCTGAGGAGGACTGAGTGGTGGCTGGAGTTCACTCTTGAGATGAGTCTCAAAATCGTTCACTTTCTTTGAGTAGTTTTCATGAATTCATGTATTGTATGAATGCTTTGAGCAAAAGCGGTCACTACTGGGAGGGATGTTCTCTGCCATCAATGAACGCTTCCATTGGTTCACTCCAGACATACACCACTTATATCACTGGCATCTACTCTATGTATAGGTTCACTACAAACTACTTTCAATGCATTTAATGCTATCTTATGCTTCAAATGATGCCTTTTTAGTTTTCTTTTCTCTTCTTACTTTTCTAAGTGTTGGCCACAGTTTGAGAGAGAGAGAGAGAGAGAGAGAGAGAGAGA